GCAGCAGCAAAGCCCACGTGGAAGGAGCACACCAGCCTGTGTGGACGGGAACAGGCATCAAAAGTTCAAATTGAACAATCTCATCAAGGTGATGGAAAGGGGTCAAAGTGGAGACCCAGAGCCATCCAGGGATAACTGGACATTCCCGCACAGAGGGCTGCACAGAAAAGATACATCCCGGGGCAGTTTAACACTGCGGAAACATACAACGCTCCTCTAGTTCTTTCACCCTTCCACCCCCCACTTTTATGAGCTCAGTCCCACCTCCCCAATCCCATCAGAACAGTGTACTTACAGCGGCACTGACAGGAGCTTTCCATACACGGAATTCAGGATAGACAAACCCCTCAGAAACAGTAATGGGCGCAATGCTTCAGGGGGGGTAGAGGAAGGGGGTGAAGGGGGAACAGATAGCAATGATGGTGGAGTAAACCCCCTTGAGGGTAACAAATACCAAGATAGTAGGTGAAGGGCTAGAATGGGCAGTGTAAGAAATGTATAAATAATACTACATAATATATCAAAGGGCTCCAGAAAAAAGATAATATTCAGAAATTGATGATGACAATTGTACATGTCCGCTTATATAATGGATGTATGGATTGCTATAATATATGCAAGAGCACCCAATAAAATGATTTATTTTTAATTTTTAAACATACTTTTATTGGGGGCTCATCATCTCTTATCACAATCCATACATTCATCCAGTGTGTCAAGTACATTTGCACATATAAAATGATTTATTTTTTAATAAATAAAATTGCCTGCAAATTTAAAGTTGGAAAGTCACTGGAATTTAGAAACAAATTTTATCTATATGCCATTTTAGGATTTGGAATGCACATTAAGGATTGTGTTACCAAAAGAATTGTGTACAAATTGCTCACAATATCTCTGTACTGACTTCAAAACAACCAATCAAGTACCGGTTACAAAAAATAAAGAAAGTACCAGGGACTGCCCAAAAGAGCAAACAAATCTGTCTTGGAAAAAGTACAGCCAGAATGCTCCGTAGAAACATGCATGGCTAGACCTCTTACGTACTTTGGACACTGCAGGAAAGACAGGTCCCTAGAGAAGAACATCGTGATTAGTAAAGTGGAGGGACCGTGAAAAGAGACAGACCCTCAAGGAGACGGATTGACACTGAGGCTACAAAGGGCTCAGGCATCAGAACAATTGTGAGGGTTGTGCAGGAACATGCAGTGTCAAAATGAAGCCCTTGTGAGGAAAGGCCTCCATTAAAAAGTCATGTGTATGAGACTAAACAGTGAACTCTTGCTTAAAAACAGAGAGGCAATGTAAGGGTTCAAATTCTAAGCCTCTCACCTTAACACTCTAACCACAACCATCTAAACTTCACTAAAACCTTAACCAATAAACCCTAACATGAATCCCTTCACCCAAACCCTTTAAACCTAATTCTAACCCTAATCTGGAACCTAACCCTAACATCTGAACTATAACCATAACTGGAACCCAAATGCTAACCCTCGACCCTAATCATAACTCTTGAACCCTAACCTTCAAACTATAACCCCCTATGCATAGCCCTCTCACCCTAACCCTAGCCCCTTAATCCTAACCATAATCCTTTAACCCCAACCTCGTAATCCTAACCCTAACCCTGAGGGGAAAAAAACTGCTTACCAATATTTATATAGAACCCAAGGGGGGCATGCATCCAGTACTATGTTTATAATTAGACTTTTTTCTTTTTAATCCATCCTTGGTGACCCAGGCCTTGTGCTAGACTCCTGGCACTTTAGACTCTGACCTCGAGGCGCACATTCTTCATCAGACACACTTGAAGGATTTGATGTGGAAATCCCACAATGCTAGTTGTCTCACTTGTAGGAGACTTAATGACTTGACAACACTCCCTTGGATTTAAGGCTGAAATGCCCTAGTGTGAGGAGCAGATGACTGCTATCCCAAGTTGACAGAGGTGGTGGTTGCTGGACTTTGGTTCAAATCTCTTGCTTTGAGGG